ATTATCAAAGGAAATCAACTACGAACTTTCTTTACAAGCTAGTTATCAAAGTGGATGAACGAACTCGAAACAAATTCATTTGTCTTATCAGCGAGACTGAACCTTTGATGTTACTACAAGACAACAATACTACTCCTACTGCGTCAAGCTCGCAGAAAGAACAAAAGAAAAAGACTGGGCAGTTGAGCTATTAGGAATCAAAAGTTGTTCAAACGATACTCATAATGAACGAGTAATCACTTCAGGAATTGTTTGATCCCTATAAATATCAATGGACTATTGTTGATAGCGATTTCTGCACGCGAAAATACCCGGAATTATTTTTACTAATTATTGTCCACACGGACACTGAGCATTTCACCGAACGTATGGCTGTTCGAGAAATGTGGGGCAATCCAGAACTCTTTCACAATGTTCGCTTTCAACCGTTCATAATTATCAGTAGTCATCCTTAAGTATCTAAAGCGTCATTTCTCTGATTTCATGCCCAGTGAACACGTCGAATTTTAGAACTGTTCTGATTACGCAGTTTTGCAGACAGCTGGTAGCCTCTTAAGCAGTGCGAGCTTCAAAAAAATGCATTAAAAGAATCTCTTAGTCTCTCCGATTTCTGCCCAGAAATACTTTAGTGATCTTATCACGTCGCTTACACTGCCTTGATAAAATCGCTCACTTCAGCCCGAAACCACAGTACTTCCGAATGAGGGGCTGAAGCTTCGGTTTGATTCGAGCGATATTATCAAGGCAGTGTAAGCTAGTAATATGGAAAGGAATGACAGAATAGCAGATGGACAAAGCAGATTATCGAGTGACACCGTGCAATGTCTAAAGACGGCAGAGAAGGCCCCCTATCCGATGGAATGGTCAATTCGATCGGAAACATCGCACTAAAAGCACAAAATGCGGTAGCAAACTGGAACACTACGATGAAGTAACAGCTGAACAAAACCTTGCAGCAATAAGGTTGCCAAAAATCTCCATCAAAATCATAGACGGATCCAGCGAAGGGAGAGGGGGCGATGGGCTTTTCGCACCTCCACCTCCCC